TTTTTTTTGGGGGGGGGGGGATTTTCCCAAATGTATTTTAATGGATAATTGTACCTTTCCCTACATCAGTGTTTATCAACCTTTTTTCAGTCACGGCACCCTTTAAAAGCATGAAAAATGTCGAGCCACCCCAGTTCAAATGTAGACTGATAGGGCTCTGATATGGATTTTAAGGGGGAAGTCCCTGAATAACACAACACAAAAAAGTGGTATTCTCCGGGTTCACATCCGAGCCCCCCTTTACATTAATTGCCCCCTCTACATTAGAAGCTCCGTGCTTTCACATCACAGTTCCCCCTAACACACTAAAAGACCCTCTTTGACATTCAAGTTCCCCTTCACACCTGGAACCCCCCTTCACCTCAGAAGCCTAACTTCATATCAGACTCCTCAGCCCCCCCCTTCACATCAGGAGCCATAGCTATGGCAGAAGGCGGGAGGCAGAGCAGGCCTGGATGGAGGAAAGCTTGCATCCTTTTCTGAATGGATCCCACCCTCTCTGGATTAGCATCATTCCTTTCCATGGTTGGCTGGCAGCATGTCTGCACCATGGAAAGCATGACACTATGCAACAATTTCAAGGCACCCTTTTTAAGAAAGATTGCCTAGACAATGGGCAATGAAAGTGCGAGCAGTAAAAGCACATCTAAACTAATAAACAACATTTAATTTATAGCATCATACCAGTCCTTACACGGAGTAGCTGCATACGATTTACTTTTCAGAATTTTTGTACCTAGTAACCCTGCGCATAACAAACCTTCTGTTCCTTTTGTAGCTCCACTGAATCTATGGAGGCAGCCAAAAATGGTGTTTGTGCTTCCTTTTTAGGAGGTGACAAGAACACAGTAATGCCCTTCCATGTGCACCTTGCTTAGAGCTGGTTACAAATTGATGAGTGCGTTTGCCATTTGTTTTACAAGCGGCATCTGTCACCCTTGAAATGGTATGTGATTACATGTGGTTAGAATCAATCACTATCCCTGGACGCATCAATTGTGCATCCAGGGAGAGTGTTTAATAACTGCATGTAATCATATCACATACCATTAGATGCGGTGTGCAGGCGTTTACATGTTTACATGCAGCGGCTGTCACCTGATTATGAACAGGTGACAGCTGCTGCTTGTAAACGCCAGATTAGGGATTCCTGCTGCAAAATTTGAAGTAAACGCAATTTTGAAGTATGAAATTTGGCAAGCGGCCCCAAATGAATTGAGTTTGAGACCCCTGCCTTAGTCTATAGCTTCATAACAACATTAAATGCCTCAGTCATGAATGGGTTATGGTTTGTAACTGTTAAAAGCTTTAGTGGCTTTGTGTTTTAGGGTAAATCAACTGCATACAATATATCCACATTGCACATTAGGAATATGCGAAAAAAATAAGCTAGCTACCTTGTTCCATTGGGCTTTTGTCCTGCTGCTCATGGTTTTCCAGTGTTCCACTTGCACTAGTTCCAGACAAAGAAGGAACTGATACTGCGTCATGTAGTGTGACTACATTGCCACTTGTGCCCCCTGTAGTATTTGAAGGGCTTGTAGGAGTCCGAGGTATTCCTACTGATGGCTTCCTTGCTACGGGTGGGGGGATTTTACTAGGTTTACGCTGTAGTGGGGGTTTTCCATCTGGGCTGCGTGGTCCTCCTTGGGATTTGAGTTCTGCTACCAACTCCCTTTTTAGTGAGGATTCATCTTGTGAAACTTGAGGCTCAAACACAAACTTCTTAGATCCTCTGGAAAATACAAAACTAGCTGCAGAGGCTGATGATTTGTTTGCAGATGGGGAATCTGGTGGTTTTTGTGGACTGGGAGATGGTTGTGTAGGGCTTTCACCTTGGGATGAATCAGATCCCTGAGAGGATCTGATAGACAATGACTTGCGCACAGGTTTCTGGGGAGCAGGAATTCCAGAAGGAAATGGAATCTGTGGGCCCCTGGCTTGCACAGATCGCAAACGAACCATCTGCAGCAAGGAAGGTGTTACTATAGGCAAGCTTGCATCTTCTTTTGGTTGAGCTGCAGTTCCTTGATTGTTTGACAGCTTTCTAGAGCTTGGAGCACTGACTGGCTTCCACACTTTTGAAAGGGGAAGCGGAGACCCTCCTGAAGGTGAAAGGGCTATGTTAGTGGTAACAGCAGGTGATGGCATTATAGATGCAGAGGAGTCCACAGTAGATTGTGATACAGTGCTTGCAGAATTATCAGTGGAAACGTTAGGCTCCTGCTGGCGTATGGATGGATCCCTTGAAATGTTCTGTGGTGCACTAACTTCAAGTTGTTCTTTAGGTTCAGCAATTTCTGCTGATGGTGTGGTAACAAAATGTGGCTTATATTCTATTAATGGTATCAAACTTTCCTCTGAATGAACTGCTGCTGAGGGCACTACTACTGCTTCTGTTGTGGTAGACACTGCAGGCTGTTGAACGTTATTTTCAGAGTAAAGCACAGATGCAGTTGGTGTCTCTGAATTAATAGATATAGTTGTATCTGGAGCATTTGTATTTGTTAAAGGCACAGAAATAGTTTGTGTTTCAACAATATCCAAAGGCATCTCATTCTTGGAGATCAAGAGAGGCTTTTCTGCTTTAGTTGTCTTCTTGTTATCATTGCTGTAGACAGTCAGGCTTGTGACACTAGCACTAACTGGTTGTGAAGATGGTGGTGAGGGCAAAAATACTTCCTCTTCGGGAGGTGGGAAATCTGCCATAGACAAGTCCTGTACATCAGGTACCTCTGGAGGAGGTGGAGGCCACAAGGATTCTTTTTGTGTTGCTCCTTCTGATGCTGATGGTGGAATCTCAGCATCTGACTCTGACTTTCGTACAGGTGGTGGTGTGGGGTGATGAGATGGGGGTGGAGAAGGGGCAGGAGTTACAACCGGGGTTGCCAGGAAGTCAATACTTTGAATGGGTGGTGGGCAAGTAGGGGCTGGTACATTTGGATGTGGGGGAATTATACCTTGCCTATCTTGGTCTCCCATGGATGAGCCAGCTCCTGGGGGACTATCAAATAGCGGAGTGTTGTTTTCAGCAGAGGAAGAGCTTGCATTTATGTTCGATGCTGACTTAAGACTGGATCTTTCTGGTTTGGGTGGGGTTCTCCTACGAGTACTTGGTGACTCAAGAAGTGAACGGACAGGCAATGTTGGTGTCCCACTCTGGCTAGAGTAACCACTGGATGGAGACAAGGTTCGATCAGATTTCGTAGGTGAGCTTACTTTTGGCAGAAACACCTCATTTTCTACTGTTGCTTTCTCTGTTCGTGGAACCCAAGGGTCTCGTGTATTACTGGTCTTGGCTAAGGGCTTTTTCTCTGGCCTGGGGGGAAGTCCCATTTCCCTCTGCTGCTGTAATGAATAGGTGCGTTTAGGAGGTGGAGGAGCCTTTTTGCTTTTTCGCAATGAAACACTACGAACGGATGAGCGACCACTGCACAGACTGGCAGCATCAGATCCATCTTGAGTACCTGTGCTAAGGGCTGGTGATGCCCGGCCAGTGCTTAGTCCTGATTCATGCTTTTCACTTACTTCTAACATATTCTCACCTCCTCGAGAGGATATAGTGGAAGAATCAGAAACTATAGTCTCTGTGGACTGTGAACGGCTCCATGTTTCACTAGATGTAGACATACCTCTTCCCCGATGCAATGAGCCACGGATCGAAGCAGGACTTGCTGTAGCAAGGCTACACCGGCTTAATGTTCGGACACTCGATTGACTCAAGGCAACCACATCAACTAAAGGAGGAAGAACCGCATTTGGAATGATTTTAGACATGTAGGTTGCTTGAGGTGACATAGACATGACAGGACTCATTGGGTCACTCTGGAATGAATGTGTAGTCATGCCAGGAACAGCTACAGACTTTGGACGAATGAGGAGTGGGGATATCTTCTGACCAGTCTTCCAACCAATGTAACTGTCATCTTGATACACCTTTTCTATGTGTCGTTGTAAAGCAGCTTCTGTTTGCTCTAGAGCAGCCAATGAAATGTGAGCTCCATTGTGTGGGGCTTCAGCAGGCATACCATCAACTGTAGGAATAACCACATACTCTTCCCCGTCTCGCTGGACCCCATTCACTGTTGACGCTGTAGCTGCCTTTTCACTTGGTTGATTTTTTCCTTTGGAAAACAGTTCATGAATCCCACGATGAAAGGAAGGTGTATGGAGACCTGCGGGCAAAAATGACAAATCATCTTATTTTTTATGATACCAATGAAATAAAAAAAATTAAAAACCCAGGAAATGATTTAACACCGGAATATGCAGTAAAATAAGACATTGCCACTAATTTGCGTTACTGACTTACCAAGTTCTGCTGCAATGTGCTGTGGAACTCCTACAACAGTTGCTCTCTTCTCTCTGCGTCGCCTTCTTGTTTTGCCTGACGACCAACTGGGGGAGTCATAAGGCCTAAATGTGGAGCCTAAAGAAAAAAGAAAAACCCTATAGTTATATCAAGACTTGTGTATTAGTCGCATCTAGTTGTTCTTTTTCATGTTCCTGTTTACGTAAACAGAACGATGTTTAATGAATGCACCAAGCAAAGTAGTTGTTCCATGACATAGAAAATAAGTATCTCTGCCTGACTGCACAGATCAAAAAAAGAAAATAGAGGAAATGAATACAATTGTTTGAGAAATCTTTTGGAGTAGTCCATACAACACAAGTGATTACACATTTTTGGTGATCATATCTGCTTTCAGACTATGTAGAAACAACCCCTCCTCCACACCATTTGCTGGTTCTCCTCCAGTTGGTTTATTACATTTGAAAAGCAGTACTACATGCAAACATAGAAAATGTTTTTTAAACAGTGCTACTATAACTACCTAAAATATATCTGCATGCCAGAAATCAGACCAACAATAGAAGAACAACTACTATGAAATATGGGCTCAATCACTTCCGTATAGTTCTATTATCATAAATTTCTCACTAGTAGTAGTGGTGTTTAAACAGGTTAATTTAAGGCAAATATAAAAAACACACATTAATGCAAGCAGTGGGTGTACCTGAATTAGGCCCTTGCAATCCACTGTAAAGAAGTGCTCAGTGCTCAGACTGGGAGAGGAAAAAGGAGCTAGTTAGTTAATGTGCTGCATGGCTCATGTGCTCAGAGCCGTAGCTAGCTCCTTTTGCACCCGAAGCAAAAACAGAAAATGATGCCCCCCAAGTTATTTTGAGGAACGTAAAGGGTTTTTTAAGGGAAGATGGGGATAGCGCAGGGGAGATGGGGACAGAGCAAGTGAGCAAAAAGAGATTTTGAGGTGGTGACGGGGACAGAGCATTGGGACATACAGTAGATAGATGTGTGTGTGTGTCTATATGTCAGGAAAACTATTTACTGATCACTCTCATGTCTGATACGTTGAAAAATAGAGGAAATGTGCCGCAGAAGTGGAGCCGCTGAAACAGATTTGTTTTCATTTCCCCAAGAATGAATGATGCAACCTGATTGGTTGCTCTTGGCAACAGATCATGCGCTCCATCTTCTTTGCTCCAATTAAATACAGCAGCCACACACACACACTGGGGTTTCTGGGATAACTGCATCCTTCCAGACAGCAAGGCACTGCCAGCTCCTTGCATGCAGAGTGTTGTAGTGCTCCAGCAGTTCAGCTACACATAAGGTGGTCATGTGCAAGGTGATAATGCAGGACAGACTGATCCCAGAGAATGCCTTGCACCCCAGTGGAAGCAGGAGGCAAAGCAGCTGCCCTCATATACCACAGTCAGTGTGTACAGCCGAGAAGCCATCTTATGGAATACTCCTGGGCCCTGGAGAGAAGGGCCCCGCTAGGGGGAGACCGGGCTCTCCCCCCTTCTTTGTGTATGGAGCCCGTCATGCCCGATGGCAGCAGTGAGATGAGGAGGGGGTCTGTGCTGCTCGCCAGGTATTTATCTACCCCAGCGCTACTACTCTCAACGCACGTTCGGTTGCACTGCCTTCCGTCTGCCATTAGCTAGCTGAACAGTACAGCAGAGGCTGGGAAGGAGTGATGAGGCAGCCCGGCATTTCACGGCGGGAAGGGTGCTACTCTGCAGGTTACATAGCGACGCTGCCCACAGGAGGCGGGACAAGCAGCACAAGTGATCTGGGCAGGGGATCACTTATAACAGCTGTACGAAAGGAGCGACCTGTAGGTGTTATTTAACTGCAGCAGAGAAAATTCAGGCTGCTACCCTGCCAGACAGAGATGTGTGTGTATGGCAGAGTTGTGCAAATTTAGGGCAGGATGGGCAGAAATACTAATACTTCAGCAGGGAAAGCAGCTCACATAAATGTATTTGTATTTTTTTTATCATTGCAAACGAGTGAACAAAACAGTATAGAAGGTTAATTTGTTGTACAGCAAGTTATCAAATCAGGTAAGAGACGATGCAGTTGTATTTTGTACAGTGCAGTTTGTAAGACTAAGATCATGTGAGCATTTCCATAAACTTACGGTGTTAATACATTGTTTCTCATTGTGTTCTTGTGGATGGTAGTGGTTGAGAAGAGCACTGTTAGTACAGTTATTTATTAACGTATTTTTAGAGATAATAATTTGAGACGAAATGAATGATAACACGAAAACCTGTCACTCATGGGTAGTGTTTGGCTGAAGCCATTTATTATCAATCAACTGTGTTTACTCTTTTCCAATCATAATGACAACAGAAACTACCCAAATGACACTGATCAAAAGTTTACATACCCTGGTGATTTTGGCCTGATAACATGCACACAGGTTGGCACAAAGGGGTGTGAATGGCTATTAAAGGGAACCATCCTAATCTGTGATCTGTTTGCATGTAATCAGTGTGTGTGTATAAAAGGCCAATGAGTTTCTGGACTCCTGACAGACCCTTGCATCCTTCATCCAGTGCTGCACTGACGTGTCTGGATTCTGAGTCATGGGGAAAGCAAAAGAATTGTCAAAGGACCTGTGGGAAAAGTTAGTTGAACTGTATAGAACAGGAAAGGTATATAAAAAGATATCCAAGGAATTGAGAATGCCAATCAGCAGTGTTCAAACTCTAATCAAGAAGTGGAACATGAGGGGTTCTGTTGAAACCAAACCACAGTAAAGTAGACCAAATAAACTGTCAGCCACAACTGCCAGGAAAATTGTTCGGGATGCAAACAAAAACCCACAAATAACTTCAGGTGAACTACAGGACACTCTGAAAACATGTGGTGTGGCTGTTGCAAGATGCACAATAAGGAGGCACTTGAAGAAATATGGGCTGCATGGTCGAGTCGACAGAAGAAAGCCATTACTACGCAAATGCCACAAAGTATCCCGCTTACAATACGCCAAACAGCACAGAGACAAGCCTCAAACCTTCTGGCAAAAGGTCATTTGGAGTGATGAGACCAAAATTGAGCTTTTCGGCCACAACCATAAACGCTACAGGAAAGTTGGTCAGAATTGATGGCACGATGAATGCAGTATGTTATTAAAAGATACTGGAGGACAATTTGCATGCATCAGCCCGGAAGCTGCACATGGGACGTACTTGGACATTCCAACATGACAATGATCCTAAACAGAAGGCCAGGTTGACCTGTCATTGGCTACAGCAGAATAAAGTGAAGGTTCTGGAGTGGCCATCTCAGTCTCCTGACCTCAATATCATGGAGCCACTCTGCGGGAGATCTCAAACATGCAGTTCATGCAAGACAGCCCAAGAATTTACAGGACCTGGAGACTTTTTGCCAGGAAGAATCCATCTGAGAAGATAAAGAGCCTCCTCCACACATACCACAAAAGACTTCAAGCTGTCATTGATGTTAAAGGGGGCAACCCACTGTATTAAGAACTGGGGTATGTAAACTTTTGATCAGGGTAATTTGGGTAGTTTCTGTTGTCATTATGATTGAAAAAGAGTAAACACAGTTGATTGATAATAAATGGCTTCAGCCAAACACTACCCATGATTGACAGAAAGGTTTTCCTGTTATCATTCATAGTCTCTGAAAAATGGCCAGGAAATCATACATTCTGCCAGGGTATGTAAACTTATGAGCACAAGTGTACATAGGAATTTGTTATATTTATCATTCATTAGTATATATTTCTTTTTGCTATGTATTTAGCTTTTTGCCTGGACTTTAGCTTTACAGAAAAGCTTAACATAAAAGGTAAATGTTTAACCTTACCTAAAAAATGGAACTGTGAAGGTGTCACAGGAAGCTTCAAAACTGCAGACTTTGAAAAGCTGTGTCACCTTCCAAGCTATGCAGCATAGCATTCATTGATTGCTAAAGGAACGAGGGGCTGAACAAAATTACAAACATTTGGCAGGTAAACCAGTCCACATACTTTGCAACTATAGGTTTAGTTGCTTGGCTGGAGTTTCTACTTTAATTTTTTTGGTCTTGGGCTGACAAACACTTTCACTATTCATTTATAGTAATGCTGGCCATACATGGCTGGAATTTCAGCTGATTTACAGGAAATTCAAGCCATGGTTGGCCCTGCCGGCTCGATAAACTTCAATTAAAAAAATACAAAGAGCTGGGTAGAAAAAAATTGGTCGAACAGTGACTGCAGCCAATCAGCAATCAGCAGGTGTTGCAGCTGTCTGAATGCAATAACCGTCAGGCAAGATTCTTTCATCCACACTGTTTAGCATGGATGGGGGAACTGAGTGATTTTTCCTCAGTCAGCCTGTTGGGTTGAATGAGAGAAGTCTTTGTGTGTATGGCCAGCTTTAGTTGTATTCTCATAGTATACATAGGCATGTATTGTAATAATGGTCTTCTAACCTTTTCGCTGGATCATCTCTGAACGAACGGACATTGCATCATCTGTATTCTCTGTGGAGCAAGAATTCACGCAAGACAGCCCAAGAATTTACAGGACCTGGAGACTTTTTGCCAGGAAGAATCCATCTGAGAAGATAAAGAGCCTCCTCCACACATACCACAAAAGACTTCAAGCTGTCATTGATGTTAAAGGGGGCAACCCACTGTATTAAGAACTGGGGTATGTAAACTTTTGATCAGGGTAATTTGGGTAGTTTCTGTTGTCATTATGATTGAAAAAGAGTAAACACAGTTGATTGATAATAAATGGCTTCAGCCAAACACTACCCATGATTGACAGAAAGGTTTTCCTGTTATCATTCATAGTCTCTGAAAAATGGCCAGGAAATCATACATTCTGCCAGGGTATGTAAACTTATGAGCACAAGTGTACATAGGAATTTGTTATATTTATCATTCATTAGTATATATTTCTTTTTGCTATGTATTTAGCTTTTTGCCTGGACTTTAGCTTTACAGAAAAGCTTAACATAAAAGGTAAATGTTTAACCTTACCTAAAAAATGGAACTGTGAAGGTGTCACAGGAAGCTTCAAAACTGCAGACTTTGAAAAGCTGTGTCACCTTCCAAGCTATGCAGCATAGCATTCATTGATTGCTAAAGGAACGAGGGGCTGAACAAAATTACAAACATTTGGCAGGTAAACCAGTCCACATACTTTGCAACTATAGGTTTAGTTGCTTGGCTGGAGTTTCTACTTTAATTTTTTTGGTCTTGGGCTGACAAACACTTTCACTATTCATTTATAGTAATGCTGGCCATACATGGCTGGAATTTCAGCTGATTTACAGGAAATTCAAGCCATGGTTGGCCCTGCCGGCTCGATAAACTTCAATTAAAAAAATACAAAGAGCTGGGTAGAAAAAAATTGGTCGAACAGTGACTGCAGCCAATCAGCAATCAGCAGGTGTTGCAGCTGTCTGAATGCAATAACCGTCAGGCAAGATTCTTTCATCCACACTGTTTAGCATGGATGGGGGAACTGAGTGATTTTTCCTCAGTCAGCCTGTTGGGTTGAATGAGAGAAGTCTTTGTGTGTATGGCCAGCTTTAGTTGTATTCTCATAGTATACATAGGCATGTATTGTAATAATGGTCTTCTAACCTTTTCGCTGGATCATCTCTGAACGAACGGACATTGCATCATCTGTATTCTCTGTGGAGCAAGAAAGAGAGCGAGTACGGAAAGCATCCTCACTGACATCAGTTAAGGGCTGTGGGTCAAGACAGAACATGAATCCATTATTAATAGGACTGCCACTAGGAAAGGAAGTATGTTATGTTGGATTTCATGGTGAGAAATTAAAATAATCACATTAACACATTTAATGAGATGCAAAATATACAGATTTCTGTAAATCTCCACTGACAATTTTCAATCCTGTATGCTAGTCAGTGGAGGAGTTTTGCACATATTCAGCTCATCACCCTCAGGGTTCATGCACAATTTTACTTTCTGCTCTTTGCCTCAATGTTGCACTCCCATTTGCTTAGATCTCCTTCTCAGTGTTCCGTAGTCCTTGTGTGGTCACTGCAACTCCCTCCGCCAGAGTCTCATCTCACCTTCCGTTTTTGTCTTTCCTGACGACTCCCAATTTGCCTTTACTCCCCTTTTCTATAGTCATTCCTTTTACCCCATTTATGAACAGGCCTACATTTGATACTACAAGCACTCATAGGTAGTGCTGCATGACAAGATAGATCCTCATTGAGGTTTTATGAAGCATGTCTCTGCTTAGTCAACAGAGATTTTGCAATGTGACATCCCAAGAGTCAGCAGTGATATGCTGTGATTTTCGTCTCAAACAACATATTCAACTTCAATGGAGTTTATTCCCACCCAGATGACTTAACCTTTCAGAGGCTCTTAGTCAAACCATTTTTGTAATGTCTACAAAACACAGTCCGTCAACTAAACATACTAAACATATATAAATTGTTGCTTACCTCAAAGGTCTTGATGTCCTCCTCCAATGGATCTTTGTGTTTTTCTGAAGTAAAAAAAAAAAGTTATAACAAAAAGCAGTATTAGGAGCTAATTATATATTCAAACATATCTATAAAAATATGTAAATATATTATATAGCATTCATTTCTTGTCCATTTAGGGATGCAGGAATTCTTAAACCTGTATTTATACTGCTGCCTACAGAAGGAATGGACACTGGCAAAAAAGTCCAGTCCCACTGTACTACTTGCCCCCATCTCACTTTATACTAACGGGGTTGCTTTCAGCACACATACTGATGGTGCCAACATCTGCAGCTTGGAGTCATGTTGGCCTCTGCCGCTAGAGTTTCTCTCTCTTCCTCGGAGTCCTTCTTAGGGCTTTCAGGTGTCGCTTGGTCCTTTTGCCCTTTCAATTAAAGTTTTACCATGGTTATGCAGTACTTTATGATGCAAATTATCCAGTTGTATGCTGACTGTGATCAGAGGCCATAAACATGCTCCTGCAACCTCTCCAGCAGATTCTGTATCTGACTTAGCTGCTACCTTGGTGACTTCTGAGCCATCAGCTGCGGAGACTGCTCTGATTCTGAGTTGCTGAAAAAGTCAGACTAAGGAGCACACACCTGAGGAGTAACAGTCTACTGCTATTACTCCTAAATGAAAGGAGACATTTCTGCTTTTGTTGATGCACTCTGAAACTTGTTGCTTCTACCAGTGCTTGTTTCTAGGCTTGGGTGATTTAAGACTCCTAAAAGGTGGCCATACACTTTACAACCATCGCAAGACCTTAGTCTTGCGATGGTTGTAAAGTACTTAAAAAAACATACGCTCTGCCCATCTTGGACAGGCAGATCGTACTTGCGATGACTACAATGAGGGGCGGGCTTGCAAGCACGGCAAACGGGCAGTGTGCGCGTGCGCACACCGGCCCGTTCGTCAGTTGTCGAACAAGCAGGCCACTCACTCGCCGAGAATCGTACGATTCCCGGCGGGTTTTCCAGCCTGCTTGTTCGATGGAAGACGTGCGACCGTACAGTAGAAAGAAACGGTCGCACGCCTTCCATACACTGTACGATTCTCCCGCGATTCTCCTACGAGAATCGTACAGTGTATGGGCACCTTAAGGCTGCAAAGACTTTTCCTTTGCACCTGCTTTTTTAACTGTTTCTCAATAGGGATTGGAAGCGCCCTGATAAGTTGTTTACTCCTCCTAAGCACTTGCTGGCTTTGTATATAGTTTGTTAGAATTTTGTTCAGCAATGATCCATTCCCACTGTGGATCTGGCAGTATCTCACCTTAACAAGGCAATTACTATGCCAATGAAGAATGCAACTTCCTTTAAGTGGTTGGAAGCCCTTTCTAGAGCAACCTGCGACTGATTCTGATTTACTTTGTAAAGCCATGCCTGACTGGTCAAAATCTCTTAAGAGATTGTTGAACATGTGAAGAATATGGCTGTAGTGTTACATTTTATTTGTCATGGTTGGCTAGAAGCCTTCTGTCTTATCTCTCGCATGTGGCTCCTATCGGTGCATATGCGTAGGATTTGGCTAAAGTGCAGGACTGCTGAACCTTTGTGCATTAATTTCTGACCCGCATTCTAGACTGGATCTTGATAATATCATCAAGGATTCTACTTGAGCATTTTTACCAATATTTTCTGGTGGGCCAAATAGTTTTTTTACCTCAATGGTTAACCAAAAAAAACAGTCTCTTTGGAAGCTGCAATAGTTGGATATTATAAAGCCTTATGCCACTTAGTTTTCCATGATCTTAATTCACCATATAGACAAACATTTTCCAAGAACACTTTTTTAAGAGTCTGCAGAATTGTTCATCTCCCAGATTCCTCCACAGCTATGGGTGTTTCACCTGACTCACCTTTGTGGAGAAACCGTTTTCTCCCACGTTTTGATACTATTCCTGACCTGGTGATTTTGACCTCTTGAGGGGTTAAAACGCTGTGTGAAATAGTTAAGCAGGGTGGCTTGATGTCCTTTGAGGAGCTTAAAACATCTCTTCAGCTACCTAACCATTATTAGTTTAGGGATTTTTCAACTCCGCCATGCTTTTAATTGTCAGTTCCAAGAGGGTTGTTTACTCCTCCAGCCATCCAGGGTAGAAAAACTGATTAGAGAGGCTAAGCTTCAATAACCGTTGTTATGGGTTTACAGGTTACTTTCTACAGATGGTGCTGTGCTGCTACAGAGGTGTCAGCAAGCCTAGCTTGGAGATTCTCCGGGCCTTGACTCAGGAGACTGGGAAGGGATGTGTCAGCTCCCTTTTTTCTATGCAGGTCTCTGCTAGAGATTGTTTGATACAATATAAAGTTATGCATAATATATATTTAAAGCCTTTTAAACTTGCTGTCATATACCCTTCACAGTCTTCCAGGTGCTTGTGTAAACCTGCCTAGTACTGCAGGTTTTCTGGCAGAAGGTGGTGCATGAAGTCTCCCAAATTAGCAATATTTCGTAACAGCTGGATCTTAAGATTTGTCTTTTGGGTCTGGTTGAGACCCTGGCTCCAACGGTGGCAGCTAGAACTCTTCTAACCTTGCTACCCGGATTAACTCTTCGCTGCATCTCCATAAAGCCACCTATGCGAGCAGAAGCTTACCATTTAAGTTTGATAGAGTGTGGGTGTGCCTGGATTGGTTCCCCCAGTGTACATGACTCTTCTTCACATCCCGCTAATTGCTGAACCTAACCTTTTCGGCTGGCAATTGTCTACCCATGGATTCTGGAATTATTTAGGCACCTCATAAAACCTCGTCTGATTTTTATCTACACTTGTTAAAAAATGTTAAGATCATCCTGTTTCTTCCATGCTGATGTTTTCTCTCCCACTTTACTAAACTGCAGTGGTGATATTCTCAGGAAGGTGCAACTGTTGTTCTAGCATAACTTAGTTCACTGTATCTGTATGTCTCCATTTTCTTTGAGATCTGACGTGGTTATAATGGAAGGGGGGGGGGGTGGGACTGTGTTTGGGGCCATTTGTGTTGGCAGTTAATTTTTTTGTTTGGTTATTTACCTGTTGTAAGCTGTTAATGTTTTCTTTGCATGCAAAGTTCAAGAAAAAAGAATTGAAAAAAAAAAATCTGCTTGAGGCAAGAGCACCTATCTTCCCCAGCGGGAGAAGGGGCAGAATGTGAAATCTTCCCCCTCGCTGTCCACCAAACAACTCTTTCCATTTACCATTCCCTCGACTTCAATGCTGATCCCCCAAGCTTGGCTCCCAGTCTGCCTGCAAAGTCCGTCATGCCAAGTCTGACAAATCCTCAGATAAACCTTCCTATGCATGAAGGTGCACCCCAAGTTTCCAGATACCTAGTTGCAAAATTAAGTTTACCAGGGCTACAAACTTGAGTTTTGTTCTCTTCCCCCTCCTAATTTTCTCACTTCAAACTTTCCTGTGTCTCCACGAACTAACAGATCTCCATCAGGCTCTTCTGGTGTCTTCTGGATCAAGGTCTAAGTGCCCCAGTCCCTGTAACAGAATGGTACCAGAGGTTTTACTCCCAATGCGTTCACTGTTCACAAACACAAAGGGGCATTCACCCCCATCTTGGACCCTAAGAGGGTACTGAATATTTACATTCAGCCCCATAAATTCCAGATAGTATACACCAAATCTGTCATTTCCGCCCTTCACTTCAGATTTTCTGGCTTCTGCGGACATCAAAGTTGCTCTTTTGTACATGCCCACATTTCTAGTGCATCAGCAATTTCAAGGCTTTGCTGAAGGACCCCCTACACCACCAGTTCATAGCCTTGCCCTTTGGCAATTCCTCTGCACCTCAGGTATTTACCAAGGTGCAGGCCCCAGAGTTAGCCCTATTGCATTCTCGTGGCATCCTCATTGCAGGATACTTAGACAACCTCTTGTTGAGAAAATTGTCAGCAATGGCTCTTTTGGACAAAGTTTCCCTGTGGCCAAGACATTACAGAAGTATGGATAGATCCTGAACTTTCCAAAATTATTGCTGCAACCAACTCATCACTTAGAATATCTGGATTTAGTCCTAGACATGTCTCAGGCCAGAGTGCTCCTTTCCCTGGAAATGCATCATATTTTCAAGTCTCCTGTTCAAACACTTCAGTGCAGATGTTGTCTGACTCTCTGTTTCTGCATGAGAGTCGTGGGGCTGATGGTATCCTCCTTCAAGGCAGTCCCCTTGCTCCAGTTTCACTCTAGACCTTTGCAATGTAACACCCTGCTATTGTGGGACAAATCAGTCCTGTCTCTGGACAGGTCCGATTTGGTTGAAGCCAAGGACCAGGCTATCCGTGGCTTGGTGGCTATTCCCTTGCTCTGGGAGTAAGATGTCTGTTCTTCTCATCATTTTGAATGCTAGCCTATTGAGCTGCAAAGGAGTACTGGGCAATTATTTCTAGCTAAGACATTTATAGTTATTTTCTATGGAATCACTAACTAGCTAACTTTGTAGCTCAGTCACTCAGCAATTGAGTTTTAGCACCATTTCATGCCAACGACAAATTTGTCAGCAACAATTACTCTTCAATAACCTCTAAGGGCTAGGCAACAAATCGCTTGGCTTAACTACACATCACTGAAGGAGATTGATTTGTAGCAGAGCACACCGACCCCATGCTGTAACACTAGTTTAGCACGTAGCAGTAAGAAATTTCCCCTTCGTGACAATTCACCAGCAATTCAAGCTATCAAATTAACACAATGTTAATCGCTGGCATCATAGATCTCTAGCAGCAATTAATCTCTGCTACAAAATCACCAGTCTGACATCAGCCTTATTCCTGGCAGGAGTTCAGCCTTCAGTTGGTTATAGACACTTGATGGTTTACTTTAGAGGGCTTCCAGCCTACCAAGATTCTGGTGCAACAGAAAGAGCTGAGATTTCAATACCTGTGTTGTACCATTGTTGTGAACTTAAAAAAAAATAATTTGTTACAGAATATGTAAATACTTTAGTGTGAATGATCTGGACACAGGTTGACTTTAAGATTGCGTACGAGACATTTTACACATGTGGATTTGTTTTCTTTACCTCTCCTCTGCAAGGACTTGAGCCCCTCCTGAGCTTGGCTGTGGATGTCTTCCAGGAGAGCGGTACGTCTGCTGGGGAAGAATGCATTGTCAGGAGACTCTTCCTCCGGCGCTGGAATGGGTTGTGAATGGCCATCAGGTATTGAGTTATCTATTGAAAACATAAGATAGAGAAATGCTTTAAACTTTTTTTCATTGTTTTTTTCCATTCCCAAAGTATATTATGCTCTTATGGACATTCTCATTACTGATTGAGTGAATTCTGCTTTCAAAACTTACAAAATTCTACTTTTATTAGACAGTATCTATACAGACAGGATTTTCTTGTTAAGAGTATAGTTTCTCATGCCAAAGACAGCCATCTTAAATCTGATCATCCTTACTAGCAACTTGACTGTTTATCCTGTGATGAGTCATTCTCAGCCTGGAGACACAGGGTTTCACTGTCACGAGTACACTATAAGCAAAGTCTGAATCAGGATGGGATGGTACTACCCACACTGCATTGCAACACTATCAGCAACAACTCATGTCCAGATACGCAAAACTTCTGTATGACCTTGATCTTGTCCAGCCTCCCACATTTCCGGGTGCATAAAACCTTAATTTTACTCTACTTTACTTTAGTTGTTTGCTTAGCAAGAGTCATAGCATACCATAAGTGACAAAAAATGTGTATGAATGTAGAATCTTTAAAAAACTAAACCCAACAGATATGGAATTCTGGTAAGTGTGGTGCTATGCGTAAAATTACTAAGTGAGTTTTTACTTACTTACGCAGATGCCCACAAATGCCAAAATATGGGGATGTGGTAGTGATCCCCCCATGAGAGAGAGAGACATATTGGGGGTTATTTACTAACCTAAACACACGCACGCACTAGGTGCGTGTGATTTTTAATAAAGCACTGGTCATTACAGGACTTGCTAAATGGTAAGCATAGTTAAAAGTCACAGATAAATAATAAATACATGGAAACTGCTACAAGTCTTTTTTTTTATGTATTTTTTGTAATGCCATTTGGTAAGAAGGGTGGTATAGAAATGCACTGATGTTAGGATTACCTTTATGCATGAACCTGTACAGATGGCTGTTTTATTTGTTTATTTTATTTGTTTTTATTTTGTTATTTTATTGGGTTTTTTTTATTTGTTGCATGCACAACCTTTTTCCATCACAATGCTACGCACGGTATTGTGGTTATCGAGTGTTGCAGTGCACAGCAAGCAGGAGGTTTGTTGGGGTGCGGTTCTAATGAATGGCAATGCAACGCACCTAAAGCACGGTAATGCATACTAGGTGCATGGTCCAACAGCATGCGTTATCGCACAGAATCGTGCAATTAACACAACGCTATGGTGTAAATGGGCCCGTACAGAGGTGCAGTAAAACAGAGACATGATAATATCAGTTCTAATTATAGTGATGTTCAGCCGGCTGCTATGAAAAATAGCATTCCAAAGTTGACAAACATACTGACTTGGTAGATTTTTCATTTTCCAGGTATTGGACATATATGACACGGTCACTCAGTAGAACAAAAATAAGAAATATGATATTGTTTCATACTTCTGGATATTGTTGCCCATTTAGCTAGAGTAGCACAGTTTCAATTTTAATTCGAGAATTTTGTATTCTGACTTGACAGTTTGCACTCAGTTCCACCTCATTTGATCAAGAGAAACTGTGAGTGTAATTATCACCAATATTCTATGTTGCATTAATCTGACCTTTGGACAATAAAGTCACTCTGCCACAAGTTTTCAAGTTGAAATAGCTGTGCTGTAAATAACACAATACATATTTCATGAAGCGGAATTGTTCTCTGAAGTTTCTTCTGAAAACGGACACTACTGGGATTATCTATCTCTTGTGTCCCCCGCTGGATTTAGTGGTTGTTCCCACCGCCCTCTACAATACTACAGACAGACAATAGTGAGTAAGTTGGTGGGAGGAACAACAGGGGAACACAAGAGATTGACACTTCGAGAACTTCATCAAAGCTGGTTTGGTGGTTTGGTGCTGTGGGCCAAGTGAAGAAGTAAGTATTTACTCCCTTCTATACAGGTACAGCTGTTATATTCACTTTAATTTTTACAAAGGAGACGCTTTAAAGTGAATCTGTCATAGTGAACTGATCACGCACAGCAAATAACTGAACATATAGTGTCTTTTATATCCACATTCTACACGGTTGCATTACAATCACATATGCAAATACAATATTCAGAAGCATTCAAGAAACTGGCCTACAGCATGTTCTCTGCGGAATTATATACAAATTAGGTTTCCCGTAACCTTGCCGGCTAGAAAGAGCTTTCAGGGAGTGCTATTTGTATGTAAAATGACCCCATGACATAAGCCATTATAATTTAAAAAAGGAAAACTCTTTTTGCAATCACAAACTTATGTATTTTATCCATACATGCAAGACTTTAAAGCGAATGTATGTACTGTACTAAATAATCCTGCATATGGTAACAAGTTCCAAAAAATTTATTTATGCATAGCCAAACAGCTTACAAAGAACACACAGTGCTAACGCATTTCAGTTGCAAACAGCCTTTATGGTCTGTCTGAAACATTACAACAGTGGTCCGAAATACCCCACACAAAAAATAACTAGAATGGGTGCAAAGTTTAAAGACTACATTACCAAAGATTTCAAAACAAAAAAAGGGTATTACAATCATAACTTATTTTATAACAGCATACTGGACAAAAACAATATATATAAAAATCTAAATATATGTATATACAAGACTAAAATGGAGCAAACTGACGGATAAATGTTTTCATTTAAAGGCTGATTCCACCTTTTACATGATGTTTTATGTTACTCCCATATGTACCTTGTTTATTTTTTAATTTGGTATGGCAGTGAGTGGCTCCGTTTGCACGGCCGCGTCATTCATTCACAGATCCATTCAAAGGATATGTGAAAAAAAACTACAAGTCCCGTCTGCCACCGCAGGAGAGGGACTCATAGATCACAATGGACAACAAGTGCACTGACATCACTGTTCTTGTAGTCCGTTGATAACTTCCCCCAGCTCTATAATCAAAAGCCCATATCTTGGTAGGACAGGGAGGGAGAAACAGTCTGCAGGAGGCTAGGAATTGCAGCCATGATCCATTTATTGAAGCTGTAATACATTGCAGGCTCTTTGCAAAAGAAAATAATAAATCCCCTTTTTTCTAATCAATGTGGGTGCATTTATAATGTGTTGTGAAAGGTAACAAATCCACGCCCCAATGATGGTTAGGGCTAAAAGGAGCCCTTGATCCCTAGCTATGTATCCAAAACATTTCTCATTCAAGTAGTGGTTTATGCAATGCACCACCGCTATCCAATAAAGTAACCCTTTCAATGCCAGAGAAGGTGAAAGAAGTTATATCCCTATCATGTGCTTCTAAAAAGAGCTTGGATACATTAATGGTCTACAGGCATTAAGATTACAGCCATTACAGTAATGTTGACCAATAATGACTCTAAGGCTTAATGGTGAGCACTTCTGCCTTGCAGCACTGGGGTCCCCGGTTCGAATCCCAGTCAGGATGCTATCTGCAAGGAGTTTGCATGTTCTCCATGTGATTATGTGGGTTTCCTGCGGGTACTCAAAGTTCCCCCAAAGACATGCAGGAAAATTAATTGGCTCCTCTCTAAATTGGCCCTGCATGTGTGTACCATAGGGACATTGGATTGTAAGCTCCTTGAGGGCAGGGACTGATGTGAAGGTGAAGTATGTAAAGCATTGAGTAAATTGTCAGCACTAAATAAATACCCGTATAAGTAAAAAAACAAATAAATAAAATAAGGCCCAGTTCACAGCTAGGCATTTTGCAGCTCAAAGCTACAAATGCTCAACACAAGGAATCCCATTCTTTTCTATGGCCTCTGTTCAGACCTGAGTGTTCTGTCGCTTGTAGCAAAACGCCTGTAGCTTGAAAAAAAGTACATGAGCTTCTGTTCAGGCAATTTTTATCCCCATACACTTCAATGGAAATGCCTTAAAAATGTGTCACAAACGTTTTCTGAGCGTTTTTTTGTTTTTTTGGGAGCATTTTTCAGGTGTCATGTCACAGATGCTACTGCTTTCCATTGGGCCCAAAAAACGCCTGCACAAAGATTCAAAGACGCATTTATACACACACGTAAAAAAGCTCAAAAACAAGTTTGAAATCAACAACGCCCGGGGTGAATCCAGGCTTAGGGAGTGAATAGTACAGCCCACATACTGCAGGGAACACTGGAGGCACTTGATTACATACACCACGTATGTTGCAATGTGTAAATTCCTTAATAGGGAACACATCTCATATGAACGCTGATTTAATAATTGTAGTGTTTCCATGCACCCTGCTGTAGCTGCATGTCTTCACCCCACATGTATAAGAGCCAACTACAGATAACCACATCACTTATGGTAGCTCTGTGAGAAAATTGAACCAAATGTGGGTGCTTTGCAGCTCGAAAACCAGGCAGCCAAGATTTGATGGAACTGCCTATCACAACAACATCTTGTTAGTCAGTTTCTCACAGCTTACAACCCCCGGGTGTGTGTTTACATTAGAGGGCGGGCAAACTGCCAAGATTCTTCTTCTATTGAACATAAAAGATCTCTGATTTCAGTGTGTCTATAAAATCCAAAGAGGCTTTTCTCCACAATGCCAATAGCTACAAAGGTGAATGAGGGCGTATTGTAAAGTGCTTTTGCTGCTTGTTTAGAATATGTAAAAACTTTATTGTGCATAATATGGTCACAAGTTCAATTTAACAATAGTTGCACAAGGACTATGGTATGATTATGGGCGATTGATGCTTGAAGCTGGAAAAAGACAAAAAGTGTACCATATCAGTCATATAAGTATTTTCGGGATATAATACAATATGAAATATAAAAGCCTCTTCATGTATACGATGCACTTATAAAGGAAGGGAGTGAGATATCAGAGAGCATGCAACATGCAAGAAGCAGATACTTTTCTACTAAGACTAGGGCTGAGAAAAGACAACACATATTAACTTTGGTGTTCAGAACATCTGGTATGTTGGATCCTTAAAGCAATTGCTGCCTTCCATTCCTGACCATATGACTGAAACTGATTACTATGCCAATGGCAGTCTGATACTTTTGGCTATAATGGCC